AATATATGTATATATATGTTTTTTAGTTTTAATAATTTTTTCTATAATTTTGGAAGTAGATTATGAGCCCAATCCAATATTTTATGGTTATCTTAAAAGACTAGACACCAAAGACATTGCGAAGAGTGTTGCTCTAATGCTCTAATGTTAATGCAATATTTATGTCCTTCATATCCTCTCTCTAAGTGCACGTAATTTTAATGGATCTGGAAATGCTTTGTGATATCCATTAGAAGCTTCCTCTTACTGTTGAATGTTGTGGTATCGGTATGCAAACAATGCAAAAACTTCTTTCGGTATGCAAACAATGCAAAAACTTCTTCAGTTTCAGCAGTGAAGCTTCTACAGTTTATATTACAAAATCTTCGAACGTCCAAAAAAAAAAAAATTTGTATAATTTCCCGCTTGCGATGAGAGCAGCGCTTTTGTGTTCATTTCCCGAGCTCGTACGTACTGGGTGTGTGCTCTGTCAATCAAGACTTGCTCAATCCGTAAGCCCCGCCCCTTCTGTTCTCGGCTCCGGTGCAGCACACGGACTGTCAAGTCACCGCGTAACTTTGCTCAATCACTGGATTAAACATCACTTTTGGAGTACAAAAACTTACTTTTCCGGGGTGTACCGTTATCGGACCAGTCTTGGATGAGATGGAGGTTTAGGAGGACTGATTGTCGTTGTAAAGAGTAAGATTTGGGTTATATTCAGTGTTTGATGGCTGCTGGGGATGGAGCCCAGCTGCCGGCGACCGTAGCGGCCAGCAGGAGCGTGGAGAAGGCGCTGGAAGAGGCTGCGTCCAGCGGAGCGCTCATCCTCTCCAACCGTAAACTAAAAGAGTTCCCCCGCACCGCCAAGAACTATGACCTGTCCGACGTGACACACGCAGGTAAGACTTAAATAAAGCGGTCACGGGATGAGAGAGGGGGAGGAAATGGATCAGTGCGTTTAATGTCCTTTGTTTGAGTGTCTTCTTCACCTGCGCCCCTTCTGCAGGGGTGTACGAGCACCACCATCATCACGCCCGACCCAGAAAAAGCGGATCTTTTACTTTCACGAACATTGTAGGAAGCAGATCATCTGATAAGTTCATTTAAGTCCTCGCTTTCGTTTCTACAGAACTCCATCACTGCCCATACATCATCGTATTGTGTTTTTAAAGTCAGGTTGTTGAGTTTGAGGCTGGTGTGTTTGCTTTACAAATTGAAGACATCTGCGCTGTGCTTCTCTTCCTGTTGTTGAGGTGGAAACTACATTCAGGCTGAGCCATCTTACCACAGACCCACTGTAAAACTTCACATTTGATCTGAGTGCAGTGAAAAGCCAGCAGAACTGGTGATATAAAATGTTATTGTTGTAGTCAGCTCATTTTGAGTGCACTCTCATTGGTAGGGAGCTTGTTGAGATCCTTCTTGCCAGCAGCACTAATATGACCATCTGCTCCTCTCATACAAAGTGGGTAGGCCTATAAAGCAGTTTGTCTTTGAGCCATAGAAACCCCCACATGCACATGATCTGATGTCTAATAGAGATGTTGCAGTGCATTTAAAATGTACTTTGGGCTAAGCGACGATAATATCGGCATGTGGCATTTCATGCCATTTACTGTAATTTCAGTTCTCGTACCTCTTTGCGACCCACAGCTGGAGTTATTGAGAAGTTAGACCGTGCTGTAATAATCACTCAAATGCATTAATTGAGCTAAACAGTGCTAAAACTACCAGAATTTCTGTGCAGAAGAATATCCTGACATTCACATACTGATTATGTAGCCTAATCATTGTTTAAATGCATTATTAAGATTGTCATAACCCAGTTAAGATAATATTCGAGATTCTAGCTGGCAAATGGCTGTATTCTTCAGATTATTCAGTCACTGAACATCCAAACCAAGGTCATTCTGTGAGATGTTAGAAAAAGACAGTGGTGACAGTGGTTGAGCTCCTGAACAAAACACATGTTTGGAGCGAGGAAAAGGCCTACGTTTTCTAATTCATTGTGCTTTGGTATGCCATTGTTAAGGACATGAATGAGAATTGTTTAGAGTTCATTAAATTAAATGTGGCGTAATAAACAGCGAGAACGAGCATCTCCAGTATAGGAAAATGTCATAATTTATTCTGAATATTCTGATTACATGTACACAGGAGGAATAATCCATTGTTGTTGTTGTTGTTTTTCAGAATAAAAACTTAACCAAAAGACACTTTAATCAGATCAAATGTTGTGCAAAATAGTAATTGAGAGGAACACATTCAGATTAGAAGTCAGGCAATACAGTTTTCACTTTCTCCCTTCATAATCTTAAATATTTGGTGACATCATTAAGGGTGATTTATTTTGAATCTTTTTAAGAATACTGACTTATATTGATGGGACTGAGGCACTGCGTAGCTTGAGACTGAGTCTTCTGCTCTATAGTTCAGTAAGTCAAGTCTTAGGTTTAGATGGTCTAATCTCTTCTTTTTCTGTGGAGGTTTTTCACATCACTTTTCTGCATGGATAGCCATGTTGCCTTGACAACCGTACTGTACATCTGACTCCAAAATCCAAGCGCCAGTTTGGGATCAGTGAGGGTGCCGAACAATTCAAGAGAACTAGGCCTGAAACTGCCATTTATAAATGCTAGAAATCTAAGCATAGATCCAGTGTAAAACAATCATTCCATAATAATCATGTTCCAGAGACACACCTACCGTCAGGTGGAGAATGATTACTAGGTGTTGCTCACATATTACTGGTTGTAGTTGCAGCGTGTATTTTAAGTGCACTTGAAGGTAGGTGGAAGATGATAGTGTCTCGTTTTTGCTAAGGAGGCAAGGATTGATGGGCCTTGGTTTGTTCTTTCACTCTCTTCAGTCTACACACACTCATACATATAGTCACATTATTTTCTGAAGCTCCCTTTCCAGCATGGACTAACTACCCCTCAGGAAGGTCAGGGATTCAGTCTTGCTGGAGGTCCAGTTCGGTGATGGACAACAAAGCTCAGGCTCATCAATCTTCCCCGAAACCCTTAAAAACAGACCTCTATACTCATAACCAGAGTAATAATATAGCCGCTGTTGACTTTACCCTATAACAATAACACAAGCTAGACTGTACCTCAGCACTTTAGGGTGTGATGATGACGTCCCAGACTGCCTTTGTTTTCAGCGTCCCAGAGAAGTGAAATAAATTTGAAAGAGGTGCTGAAAGATGGATGTACAGAAAGCTTAAGATAAGAGCGTATGAAAACAGAAGGACCACCGCAGAAGCAGCTCTTGAGTGGAAAATGTTCTCGGGACATGGGCACCAATGGGATCCTCCAAATAAAATCACAGTGAATGTGTTTTTGTGTGTGCATTAGATGAAAATATTTGTTTCCATCCAGCTCCCACATACTTGTGACCATGCCTGGGGCATGAACGTCATGTAGCCCGTAACACAGTGTTTCATTCAGTGGGACACACTCCATACCACAACTAAGCCTCACAGCAGCTGAGAGAAAGAGGGGAGGGACAGAGGCCTTTTTTTTTAATAAAACGAGCTTGTGGACTGCTCCCATTGTCGTGATATTCCCGAAATAGGGACCCTCCTCTTTCCCCCCAACTGCAGTCCCATTCGTTAAGACCCCTCCTCCATTGTCTGAGGCAGGCTTCTCTCTCTCTCTCCCCCTTGCTCTCTCTCTAGTTTTTATCTCTTTCTTTTCTTGGTTGGGTGAAGATTCCCATTTATCCAGATCATCAAAGAAGGCCTTAAATTTGGTGTTGGTTGGATGTTTTTCAAAGGGCTTTCTGAAGATGGCCTAGATTATATTCTATAAAACACTCTCCTCATGGCTTATTTCCATTGATCTGTTATCCCCCATCAGTAATGTTTCCTCTCTGACATTAGCCTGTAGGCATGGCTGTGTCTGGGGCAGTGAAAGTCTGGACTGTCTGGATGTTGGACTAATAACGGTCTAGTTTTTTGGCATACATTCAGAGCTGCATTTGACTATCTGTGTCAGTTTTGCCTGTGATTCAATTGCCTGTTTGTTCACAGTAACTGTAACAAACAAACGAACAAACTCCTTAAAGTGGCCAGCATTCATTAGAAACGTCTAGACAATTAAAAAAAAAAAAAAATATAAAAACATTGTTTTAAAGAGCTTGAGCATTTAAAGAAGCAGCTAGATGACATAACTGCAGCGCACGTTTATATTAAACAGAACATTATTATATTAGAGATGGAGTGGACGCTATCATTATCGTTATCATCATTATAGTTATCGTTCTTGCTGTGAATGGGGGAATTTAAAGACTTCACCCAAAAATGAAAATTCTGGATTAAAAAAATTTTTTTTTTACCTTCATTGTTACAAACCTGATAGAATTCCATCTTTGAAATGGAAATGCAGATATTTTTCATAAAAAGATTTCTGTCCCTCATTTGAATGTCCATTGGACCAAAACGTTGACGCTTAAAAAAGTTCATTAAGACATTGTAAAAGTAATCCATCTAAATCAGGCTGTTTAAGATCATTTAAAACCTATTAGTCCAGGGCCCGTATTCACAAAACATTTGATCTTACCACTAAGAGTTCTCCTAAATAGCAGTAAAAGTTTTTAGCTAAGAGTTTTCTCTTAAAACCTATTCACAAAGCTGCTGAGACAAACTTTTACTAAGGAATAGACAGAAGTCTTAAAGGGGTCATATGATGCGATTTCAATTTTTCCTTTTTCTTTGGAGTGTTACAAGCTCTTGGTGCATAAAGAAGATTTGTAAAGTTGCAAAGACTAAAGTCTCAAATCCAAAGAGAT